AAAGTTTGTCGAACCGTTTTTGAGAAACGGGAACTTGATGCTTACGGTCGATATTCCTCTACTTCAGCAAAGGCTTGTCGGGAATGTGGGTTGTGGTCTTGGTCTTTCGTTTCTTTGAACGTACCTAGAACTCTAGCTGATAGCTTCTGTGAATGGAAGAACTGGCGGGACATAAGAAATAAATTAGGACTGATGCGAAGCACCCCTGTTAATTTCCAGTTTTCCGTGGTCTGGTACAACGAAATAATAACTAAATAAATTGCATCACAAATTAGGACAGAAAAAACTGTCTACATACATCGCAAATTTAAACAAATATAGCTGCAATAATTTATTTACCCTCCTTCTGAAATATAGAAGTAAACTCAGTTAAGCCGTTTTCGGAATGTTTTCGCTAGCTTACATTAATGAGCACTGTGAGATATAGCTGAAAAACTATGCGAGTAACAGAACGATTTCTAAAGAAAGGTGCGTTCTTTTGCCTAGCAAAATTTAACCCCGACATTTTCGCGTAAAAAAAGTAAGTGCCATTGACGAATAACTTACCTTGATGTGTTTTTTCACATTAGAGTTCGAAGTCCCTGGTGTGCTCAGCAGCTTGAGTTTCGGCATACAGACTAGATATGCAAACAGCAAATTGTCTGACTTCGTTTACTTCATTTCAGACATAGCACTTAGCCGGGCCGTGGTAACGGAGTTTCGGTGGCTATTGCCATCTTGCACGAAAAGTGAGTGCGAGATGGGCAGTAAAAGGGGATTTTATAATAGGAATTCTAAAAAGACCTTGTTTGTTAGAGGCAGACGTCATATGACAGAGACAACTCTTCAGTATACGGACTGCTCACAAACAACGCACCTCATAGCCACGCTGGTTTTAGTAACGGTCCGGTGTAGGCTGCACAAGCAACAAAAAGAGGACACTGATGGCTTATTATAACCAATAATTATAACCAAAGATGATTAGGAATGATCATAAACGAAGTATAGCGCCGGCCATATTTTGGTTATAATCACATGCGTGCTCGTAGCATCTTTACGTGTGTATATGACTCAAAAAGGTAGCGAGCGTTTATAAGCTCTTTAACCTAAGTTTCTCTTTCACGGCCAAACACCTTTTTCTTTTTTTTTTTTTTCACACCGGCAGCAGCAGCAAAGTAAGGGCTAAGCAGACGAAAGCCATCACTATCACTGCTAGGAATGTGTCTCTCTGGATGAGAGGTACAGTAGCCTTCGCACACACAACCAGGAACTGCGATAAGAAAAAGGCGGGCGCAACGTCCAGCAATAGATAATTTGTTCTTTGAATGCCAAAAATGCCAAAGAGTTGGGGGTATGCTTTCTAGTGGAAGACTACGGTATTTATATCTGACGAACTGCGATACAAAGAAGTTGCCGTCCGTGGTGGTGATGCAGTCTTTCGTCTAATCTTTGAGGCGCTATGGGAGAAAGGATGCCCAGATGATTTGGTGAGGGCGACCTTCTGAACGAGAATCGTTCTCCAGCGAGAGACCGCACCTTTGCACCACGCAGTAGGGATTCTAAAAGATGGTGACGTCTTTCTGGTGACAGTCGCCGTTCAATGCTGCGATAACCTTGCTACTTCTTTTGGTTCAAAGCGTGGGAACGTCAACGCTTCCAAACTTAGAGTTTATCCTTTCTGTTGTTGACAGAACGAGAATTTATTTGTTTTGGAGAGAAGGATGTGACCAGATAGACAAGCTAAGAACGCAAAGGCAAAATCCTTTGAGCGGTGGCAGACTGTAGTCATCTGAACGGATGTCTTTTTCCAGAGAGACGGCTGCTCGTTCATGGTACGGTGATGGTGATTTTAGCAGCTTCTCTATAAAGACTGCACCAAGGACGCTTAGTGTAAAATAGTTTGTTGATGGGCGAGTTGGTGAACGTTTGGATACATGGTTTTGCGCCAAACCATGTATCCAGACGCTTAGTGGTTCCGCGCGGCGATAACGCTCGCCTTTTGGGCCCTGTTGTGGGAACTCTTCCGAAGGAGTTTGAAATGACGCCGTTTATACCTAGCTTTGTTGTACAAAATAAAAATGATTTTGTTTTCAAAATAATCATGCGGCCATTTTTATTCAAAAGTAACGATTAACGGGTAACGTAATTTGATAGCAGATACCGTAAAATAATAATGACATTACTTTACTCGTTAGTCACTTGGAATTGTAACGAGTACGTTAGTGCGTTAGTCAAAAAAGTAACGCGTTACCAGCAACGTCGTTACTAGTAACGCGTTAGTTTTAACACTGCCTGTAAGCTGACAAGGCAGCGAAAGCTGCAACCATAACCGCCGTCCCGCTAGCTTACCGCGACCGGAAATAATCCCTGGAATTGTGCAGAAAAAGCTAGCGGTGCGCATGCTCAGTAGCAGCATCTACCTCCGCTAGGAGATGCGGAGGGAAGAAGCTGATCTACGGAAGCTCCCTTTGGAAACGGGCCTTTCAAGTGATGTACAAGTAAAAAACAATTAAACACGAAGAGGCATCTCAGAAGAAAAATGCAATGGAAGGCGATTGTTTTTCACATAGCATTTTCACGTCTTTCTAGTGGTTCTGGTGACCGGTCATACGAAAAATCGTTTTTCTTCCGGTTAAGGCCCGTTCACACTCTTTCGACCTCTTAAAACTGGGTTCCTTAAAACCTCTTACAACGAGAGGACACACTGGCGCCATCTATTGGGTAGCAGAGTAAACTTGGCGGTCCGGCATATTTCCTATTTCTGTCTCGCATTATGCTTTCTTTCTTGGCTCGAAAAACTTTTGTCAACGTTATCAACGCGCCTTTCTTTTAGGTATTACACACAATTGACCTCGGTAATACCGCAAAACCTTCGCTCTTTTGAAATGCAGTTCCAGGGTCACCGCATAGATGGCGCCAGCGTGCCAGTGTGTTTTCTCGTCCTAAGAAATTTTAAGAGGCTTGAACAAGTCTCGGTCTCTCTCGGTCGTACTCGGTTGCAAGAGTGTGAACGGGCCTTTATTCTTCTCTTCACGATGGTTTCTAATTAAATTTGTTGAACTTGCTCTCTTTATGCCTCTGAATTGCCTGCTCATATTGCTCAATATTGTTTAATGCGTTCCTATTTAAAAAAAAAGCGAGTAAATAAAGTAATCTGTTACCAATGTTTTGTAACGAAATTACATCACAGATCACTGCCACAAAAAGTAATGTAGCAATTACAAGATTACTTAAAAAAGTAACGGATTACTTACCAAGTCTGGGCAGTGTCCGCGACTAAGTCTTGTCCGTCCTCGTCTTTTAAGTTCTTCCCTGGTATAAATTTTACCCATACCAGCACGCTCTCCATTCCAATTATGCTACGGGAGCCGTCATTAATTGACCAAAATTGTTGCGGAATGCGGCACGAAGATTGGGCCACCAAACCCGCATAATATAAGGGGATTTCCTGGATCAAGACGTCTTGCCAATACTTTGGAATACCGCGGCAACATTACCGCAACAGCACCGAGTACTGGTCCGTGGTCGTGTCTGAACTGAGAAACAAAGTATTGCACTGAGCCAACCGTGAATTGTCGATTTTTTAAGGTCGCCATTTGTAAGATTTTTTGTCGTTGCAAAAATTTGGCATGTCATGCAAGTCTTCTGTTGCACCCAATTTTATATACAGAAAATGGGTAGAGTATTTACAACATTTGTCTGGAGTTCATCCCAGAAAAAAAAAAATTAAACGCGATAATTTGTTCAGACGTGTAGAATATGGCGGGATCGGCTTTATCCACCTTTTGTACGACAGCTTGTGTCGTGTTTTTTTCTTCGTTCAGTGTATCGAACAGAGCTTGTTTGGGCTTTTGAAAAGAAATGCTAGATGCAAGTATATTTCTGCAAGCACGGGATTACAACTACGTTCATTGTGGCATTTTACCGTTAAAGACGTGGCTCGAGGAGAGGGTGATTTTTGTGCCTTAGTACGTCAATGTTTTGTTTTATACAAGGCGCCAGAAACTATTGAACGTGTTTTGATAGAGTGTTAAGATCCGTATTTTTTGTTGTGAGATTTGACAATGGACTCTAAAAAGGATCCGCAATAAACAGCTGTCATCATTTGGTATTTACCCGTAAATAAACCCGAACGTGTTCCGTACGATATAATCATTGCCTTGTGTCTGTTTAGCATATAAAAGTCACGCACGGCACTCAGGCACGCAGATATGGGTGTAAAACATGCCAGCGAGCATTTTAAAGGGCTTGTTGGGGAAGTGCAATCATACTGCGGCTCAGGAGAAGTGACTTTAGAAAAGGTTTATCTGTTTGATTATGTAAAAAAGAAAAATAATGTTAGTGCACCCACGAAAGCTTGGGCACTTATTGACATCGCTATTTGAGAGATTAATGAATGTTCGTATTGTCTTCAATAAAGGAAGAAAAAAATGGGCCTGTACATAGCCCCCTCTACACTCACAAAGCCTGGCAGTTCGACGACGGAGCCATAGAGTGCCCAGTCGCAGGTTTGGAGCGCGAGGATCTGGTAGTAGTAAGCACAGAGCATCAAAAAGCCATTTCTCGGGAAACCTGGACGTCAACCCAGAGTTTTTGCAGCAGCGAGGACCCGAAACGCAATTGTTCGCTTGGCAGAAGTGTGTTTTGACGTCTCGCCGCAGCGGGGCGCCAGTCACGTGGCTATCTTCTCATCCGTTGTCTGCCGCTCCACCTTTTCAATTTCGGCGGCCGCTTCTCGTGGAGATCTGCTAGGCTTTGTCAGCATATAGATGGCTATGGCCTGTAGCTCAGTCAGTAGCGCATGTGACCGGGGTTCGATCTCTGGCAGCGGTTGCCGTTGTTTGTTTTAAGATCGTTTAGCGCTTACGGATTGACCGACCTACACATTTCATGCTTACGGGGCTCCTGAGTTTGTTAACCCTATTAAGCTACCACCTTAAAAAAAGAAAAACCCATTTATTGATGTTTTTTTCAGTTTCAAAAGTTTTATATTTAAACCGTAATTGTGCCATGTTTCTAGAATGGACGAGCCTCGGGAGCAATGGGACAGCAACCTGGAATTTCTACTGGGAAGCATCGGCATGAGCATTGGACTGGGAAACATTTGGAGGTTTCCGTACGTGGCATACGAGAACGGGGGAGGTAAAGTGAAACAGCGCTGCTTTATGCACCTTCGAGTGGTACTAGCTAACGTCGTACGAGACAGAACACAGAGTACCTTGAGATTCGAACATTCCAAGGATGAGATTATCGCTTCAGTTAGTTATTTAATCTGGTGCAGGAGCGTTCCTGATTCCCTACATTATCATCATGACGCTCGTGGGGAGGTCCATGTTCTACATGGAGATGCTCCTGGGCCAGTTCCGCAGCGCTGGGGCCACGCTCTGCTTTGACTGCGTTCCACTGGCAAGAGGCGAGTGCAGTGAACTGCTTCGGTTTCGCGTCTGTCACCGTGTCTTTAGTCGTTTGTAACCTATCATCTGCAGGAGAGGTCCTCAAAAGCAAAGCTCCGAACACAATAACTAGACATATTCATGGTTTCTTGTTGTTTTTGTGGTCCTTGAATTGTTGGGTGCGTAATAAAAATATTTGGTTCGACGATCAACGGGATTCATCAGATGGAAATTTTGACGTATTTCCATCGGATTCAGTGCAGTGAACGCATGGCCCCGGCTTTCTTCCGTCCTCGCTTTTGGTGTCATCGCCGGAACGGAGGGTGAGCTGGGGCCCCAATCTGGACACTTGGCGAAAAAGTCGGCGAGAAATCAGATGGCTATGATTGGCCGGCGCCAAGGTCATAGCCAATCACGGCGGCCGGATTTCTCGCCGTCCTTTTAGCCAGTTGTCCAGATTAGGGCCCCTAAGCAGCATTCCAAAGCTGCACGGCGCCGGCTTGTCTCTGGCTCCGCGCCAGCTGTTCCAAGCTAAGCTCGTATTGGTTTCAAGTGCTGACGTCAGCACGCGTCACCCTCTCCCTCTCTTCCCGCCGCCGACATGGTACCCCTTCACCACCCCACTCTCGTCGCGACGTCATGCATGGCGCTGACCCACGGACGGACACCGGCGGGTTTTGTGAAAACGAGCGACTGAAAGCTAACGCATTAAAAGGGACTGGCCAAGGGTCATTGGCATAAGAACAAAATCGGGAATATATTATGTAGCAGATTCTGTTTGTATAAACATTGTATCTTAAGATTGGAAGGCCCTAAAAACCTAATCAGTTCGATGCTATAATGTAATCGTGGACGGTTGGGTACAGGGTGTTATGTGTGGAGCAAAGAAAAAATCGCTCCAAATGAAAGAACGCTTTGAACGGTGAGTGGCGTGCACATGATCCTAATCGCATGTTCGTTTACTATGACAGTTCGTAAGTTCTTACTGGAGTGTTGAAATCTCAACTATGTCTTATGGCCGGCATAAGAAAAGCAGTATTTGCTGGCAATATTCCCTTATGATGCCCATTCTGAAACATATATATTTCTTGTCCGGTTATTGCGACCCCATAGCGTCAAAGAAGGCTACTAACAACGCTTGCATCAAATGTCTGCGAGTAGTGCTTGTTGTCTGTTGGTCCTGTGAAAACGAGGCATAAACAGGTGTACAGCCAGCACTCGAAACGTCAAGAACACCAGCAACTCGTACGCATACCAACATTTTGTGCTTTCTATGATAACTAAGCAAAAAGAATCAAAACTATAGCTTTGGCTTGTTGGTGGCAAACAACTGCTGACAGACTGGGTTCTGTTTGCACAGGCGTCGGCTGGACGATGGTCTACACCTGTTTCGCCATCTGTGCCTACTACAACTTGCTGCTGTCCTACTCGCTCAACTACCTGTACTACTCCTTCTATGATGTCCTGCCTTGGACCGTCTGCAATCCGGACTGGGCAAACGACGAGTGTTACGACAAGAGTACCGTTTTGGTAACTTAACACCTTGGATCTTTTTTTTCTCTTTTTTTAAAGCCCTGCGGCGCATAAAGGGACCACGTGACCAGGTCTGGCCGGCTTTCTAGGGAAACCAAGGTCAATAATCAATGATACCAACGTAATGAAGGCCCAGTATTCACGGTTACACTGCTTACAAACGAAGCGGGCTTGCGTGCGGTGAAAAAAAAATAGCATCTACTGATCACATCTAATAATTTTATATAATTCATTATTCTATTCACATTTAAATTATGGTCATCTTATATGGGACACTACAACCCATACCAACCTCCAGAAAATATTTATCTTGCAAAAAAAAGATACTAAGAAGTATGTGTAATGTTGACATTGAATATCCAGTTAGTGATCTTTTTGGTCAACAGGGTATATTAAAAGTTTGTGATTTATACAAATATTGCATTTGGGCAGAATATATAATAAAAAAATTGACCCCAGCGTCACCTTGAAACCGTAGCGAACCTAAAACAAAAAAGTATATACATATCCAACACGAACGAAGGAACACGGGAAGTACCCTTTTCAAGAACTAATTGCGGCAATCAAACTATGGCATATACTTTCCAACTATCCTTAATCCGCTGACTAGTCAAGATATAGACATCAGCAGTACGTCGTTGAGCAGTTTAAGCAAATATTTTATTTCATACCATCAACAATGAGCGCTGATTCTTGCTTCCTGATTTGTTTTCTGCCCCTTCTTATCGGCGACAATCAGATGATCGAGGCTCGGGACGCTGTTGAAAAACTAACAATGAACACCACTGACACGAGACATTTAGCCTGGAGCTAAAAGAAGACGAGGGGGATGGGGAATCGCGAGCGCGAGCGAACGAGCAGTCGGATAAACCGTTTAACACAAGCCGGTTGTGCTGTTATTCTTTCTCGACCTCAATGTCCTCAACGAGTACCTAGCGAAAAAGCGCCTCAAAGCGCAACAATTATTTGGTGCCGAAACCCGGGACTTGGACTTGAGGAATCAACCTGAAAATGGATCGGCTCAAGACCAAGCGTAAAGTCCGACGCAATCAGAATACGAAGATAATCAACGAGATAACGACCATGCTCCAGTCCGTCGCCGTTGATGCCTCTTCTCTCGAGAACCTGAGAGACAGACTGGTAACCAGCAACGAGGAACTCCGTAAAGTCAACGAGGAGATCGAACCACACATCAGCGATAGTGACCTGGAGACAGACTACATCACTGTCGCAGAATATGAAGACGAAGTGGCTAGGACCCTCAGCGAACTGCGCAACAAGATCGCGCGGTTGCAGGCAACGCCAACCACATCCGCTACTGGAGCCGACGGCGACAGGGGCCACCCATCCCAAGCTACGGGAGTGAAGCTCCCCAAACTGCAACTTCTACACTATCAAGGGGAGCTCACGCAGTGGCAACCCTTCTGGGAGCAGTTCGACGCCTCAATACATCGGAACACCAAGCTCTCTGATGGAGAAAAATTCCAGTACCTGCGGTCGCTTCTGAATGGGCCTGCCGCCAGTGCCGTTTCCGGGCTGCAGGCTACGGCAGCGTGCTACAGAGATGCAATAGAGATACTTACTGAACGCTTTGGCGACAAGCAAAACATTCAGCGGGAATATCTGGAACGGCTTCGAAACCTTCCAATGGTAAAGTCAGTGCGTGATGTCCAAGGACTGCGCAATGTGTACGATCACGTCCAGACAAACATTCGCGGTTTGCGCTCCTTGGATGTTTCAAGCACGACGTACGCCACAATGATGGTGGACATACTCCTGTCCAGTCTTCCAACGGACATCGTTGTGGATTACCATCGACACAAAAGCTACGGAATACCACTTGTAGTTTCCGCCGGCAGAGAGGAGGGGGCTAGCACGTCTGGCGATGGAGCAGTCAACGTCGCTGCATCGACAACGGATGCCGGTGAGGAGCTGGCGAAACTTTTGCGGTTTCTTCGCGTGGAAATCGAGAGCAGAGAACGATCAGCACCGCTCGAGAAAAGACCAGCGAGTGTGCCGAGGATAGCTCCTAAACCGATACAAACTGTTTATCCACCATCAACGTTCGCGTTACAAACCAGCGGGACAGACAACCACTGCTTTTTTTGCAACCAGCAGAGTCACAACACCGGCGCTTGTACTGCTGACATCGCACTTGATGAAAAGAAAGGAAGATTAGCGCAAGACATGAGATGTTTTCGCTGCACCAAACGAGGGCATCGGTCCAAAGACTGCCGCAGCCAAGCGAGATGTTCTGGATGCAGGGGACGACATGTCTCGTCAATGTGCAATCCTGCTTGGCAGACGACAAGACCAGTTCCGGAAGAGACCGCCAATATACTCACCACCAGTAATACGACGCCTCACCGAGCATCGAGCGTTCTACTGCAAACTTTCAGGAGCTGGGCCGTGAGTGATGAGAGCTGCGCATATATCCGCGGTATTATCGATGGTGGAAGCCAGAAGACGTTCATCAGAGAAGACTTGGCAAGGAAACTTAACTTGAAAATTATAGGCCAACGAAGCATGAAGCTTAACACCTTTGCCAACAGCGGCTCGGACGTGATAAAACAGAACTTCACACTGGTCAGACTACGACTTCGAGGCCAGTATGCGATGACGGAGTATGTTTTAGAAGCCGTTGTCGTCCCATTTATCTGCCAAGATCTCAAAGAAACACCCGTCGAACATTCGTTCCTTAAAGCGATCACGGGGTCCATCGCTGACGAGTTGATGTTTCCCTCCGTCCAAGCAGAGGAAGGCATAAGCCTGCTCATTGGCGCTGACCAAATGTGGAGATTGTTGACTGGCGAAACACGCCGCTCATCATCCATCCCCGGCCTGGTGGCCATTTCAACTAGCCTAGGATGGACCTTTCAGGGTCCAACAGGCATCGTGAGAGTCTTATCGAATACTACCGCGAACTTGATGGTATGCGTGTTAGGAGTGGCATTGACCGCCGAGGACGACGGGGCAGCGTTAAGAAACTTCTGGGAGCTGGAGGCCATTGGAATCAGGGATGAACCGACCAGTACGAAAGAGCAAGATAGTACGGTACTCGAACAATTCACAGAGAAAATAAGTTGGAAGAATGGCCGCTACGAAGTCGCTCTACCCTGGAAGGAGACAGCAACAACACTTGGAAACAATTACATCACTGCCAGGTCTAGACTCCGCAGCCTGATCCAACGTCTCAAGCACGATGACTCCATCGCACTCTATGACAAAGCGATACGCAATTACTTTGAGGACGGACACGCGGAAGAGGTGAACGAAAAGTCCCCATGTGATGGACGCGTTTATTATATGCCTCATCGAGCGGTGATTCGAGCCAACTCGGAATCGACAAGAATTCGAGTGGTGTTCGACGCTTCATCACACGCGCCAAACACCGGATCTCTCAACGACCATCTTGAGAAAGGGCCTACCATTAACACAGAACTTTTGCCGGTGCTTCTCCGATTTCGTATGCAAAAGGTGGCTCTCACAGCTGACATCCAAAAGGCCTTCTTGCAGATAGAAATTGCAGAGTATGACAGAGATGCTCTCCGGTTTCTTTGGTTTGAGAAGACTCCCAGACCAGGCGAGCCGCTGCCCGATATCAAAGAGTGGCGCATGACGCGAGTTCCTTTTGGAACAACTGCCAGTCCATTCCTACTTGGAGCGACAATTCGTCATCACTTAAAGAACGTGAGTGATTCGAACAAAGACATCGCGGCTCTTTTGCTGGACTCATTTTACGTGGACGACCTACTGATTGGAGCCGCAAGCACCGAAGAAGCCCGAAGACTCGCTGATGGAGCACAGACATTGCTCAGAGAGGCCGGCATGGAACTTCGCAAATGGAATACCAATTCCAGCCAACTGCAGAACCTATTCAATCAAAAGGAGGGGAACGTCGATAATTCACCTCAGATCACGTCAATCAAGTCCCACGAAGTCACAAAGGTACTGGGACTGGTGTGGGACAAAACCACAGATTCCTTCACGTTCTCTAGTGACCATCTCTTGGACATTCTCTTGACAAACATGACTACAAAACGCTTCGTCCTCAGAGCCTCTGCTAGGATCTTCGATCCCCTAGGATTCCTCTCACCTTACGTCATACGAGTAAAGATTTTGTTTCAACGTATATGGCAACATGGTCTGGGATGGGATGAAGAACTACCAGAAGCACTACGGCAAGAGTGGACAACGTGGTGCGCCGAGTTAAAGGACTTGCCACGCATCATGGCTCCGAGACACTTACAGAATGCGGATGGTGAGAGCAAGCTGGAGCTTCACGTTTTCACAGACGCCAGCCCTCAGGCTTATGGTGCCTGTGCCTATCTTCGCGCCGTGGACAGAAAAAAAAATGTCAGCGTCACTCTGGTGTTTGCCAAGTCCAGAGTTGCCCCGCTTAAGACGCTGACCCTCCCACGACGAGAACTGATGGGAGCCCTCTTGGGAGCACGCATGGCTAAATATCTGTGTACTGTTTTGTTTGGTGTCGTAGTTACGCTATGGTACTGGACAGATTCAATGATAACCCTCGGTTGGATTAAAGGATCAGCAACTGCATGGAAACCTTTCGTCGGCAACCGAGTGACAGAAATACAAGCACTAAGCGATCCCTCTAATTGGCACCACTGCCCGGGCAGCGCGAACCCAGCAGACGCCCTAACTAGAGGAAAGACGGTAATGCAGCTAACTGCGTATCAGTTATGGTGGTCTGGGCCTGAGTGGCTTTCCCGAGAAGAAGGAAACTGGCCAATTGGCAGTACCTCAGAAGATGAAAACCTCAACGGAATTGATGGGGAGAGACGACAACAGGTCGGGGAAATACTGCTGACCACTGTGAGTGCACCAACCGCACTCTTGACATTGGAGAATTTCAGCAGCTATACCAAGATGCTGCGTGTCACAGCGTGGATAAAACGATTTGTTCAAGGTTGTCGTCGACAGAACAAGTCACCTGAACTGCCCCTAACGGCAGATGATATTAGAGATGCAGAAGCTTTCTGGATCAAGAATGTCCAACGAGAATGCTTCGGCAGAGAGATCCAGGAGCTGGTTCAAGGCGGAAGTATCTCAAAAGGATCGAGAATAACCGATCTGCAGCCCTTTCTTGACGACACAGGAACCTTGCGTATTCGAGGCAGACTTCACCAATCCACAGCCTCGGAGGAGGTGAGACATCCTACTCTTCTGTTAGGAGATCACCCTTTCACCAAGTTGCTTGTCATGAATGCTCACCTCAGAGTATTACATGGAGGCTTGCAGGCCACTCTGACAGAAATTCGTGACAGATTTTGGCTCTTAAGTTCACGACGAGCCGTGAAGAAGATCATCGCGGAATGTCGCATCTGTCGACGATTCCAAGCAAAACCGGCCACAGCCCCCGTAGCTCCGCTACCACGGGACAGAGTGGAAGAGAGTCACCCCTTTCAAGTCGTGGGAATCGACTTCGCGGGGCCACTGTTGGTCAACTCAGCAGGGCAGTGCGTTAAGGCCTACGTTGCCTTATTCACTTGCGCGACCACCCGGGCACTACACCTCGAGCTGGTATCCACCGCGGCCACGGCGCCATTTCTTTTGGCCCTGCGACGCTTTGTGTCACGAAGAGGTCTCCCAAGCACCATTTATAGCGACAATGCGCTGACATTCAAGAGAACAGCGAAGGACCTGCCGGCCTTGTGGGAGGCTATTCGCAGTGCAGAATCTCAAGACTTCTGCAGTGTTAACCGAATCACCTGGAAGTTCATTGTAGAACGGGCAGCCTGGTGGGGAGGCTGGTGGGAGAGGATGGTGAGGTCGGTGAAAACGTGCCTCCGGAAAATTCTTGGACGGCAGAGCTTGTCGTTTGAAGAACTAACGACGGTACTGACTGACATCGAGGCAGCGCTGAACTCTCGGCCACTCACCTACCTTCATGCCGATAATAGTGAACCAGCGGTCTTGACCCCCGCTCACCTACTCATAGGAAGGCGATTGATAACTCTTCCAGAGGCGGAGCCAACCCACGCGTCATCGAGAGATTCACTAACACGCCGGTGGAAATATAGGCAGAGGCTCATGAACAACTTCTGGGTACGTTGGAAGAAAGAATACCTACTAGAGCTTCGTTCGGCCCACCTTGCACCACCGCTCAGCAGCCGTGCACCGAACGTTGGTGATGTAGTACTGTTGCATGACCGTATCACTCCAAGACATCTTTGGACCTTGGTACGTGTCGTTGAAGTTTTTCCAGGAAGAGATGGAAATGTAAGGGCGTGTGCTGTTAAGCTGCCGTCTGGTTGTGTAATCCGACGGCCAGTGCAGCTGCTCTACCCTTTGGAAACTTTGTAAATCTTATCCCCAATTACCTCACTTCGTGAGCGGGGGGAGGATGTTGAAAAACTAACAATGAACACCACTGACACGAGACATTTAGCCTGGAGCTAAAAGAAGACGAGGGGGATGGGGAATCGCGAGCGCGAGCGAACGAGCAGTCGGATAAACCGTTTAACACACGCCGGTTGTGCTGTTATTCTTTCTCGACCTCAATGTCCTCAACGAGTACCTAGCGAAAGAGCGCCTCAAAGCGCAACAGACGCCCCGTGTTTTGTAAACTGTGAATGACAATAGTCTCTTTAAGGGGGCATGAAACGAATTTCTGGCTGGGATAAATGAAATTGGGACTTTACGAGTCGCATATCGTTTAGTTGGCCAAAAGGAAGAGGGTAGAAAGTCAAAAACCAGCTTTTCGGTACGAACATTTGAAAACATAGCGGACTATTTTGTACCTCCTTTCCTTCGAAAGCTCTCCGCCTTTTCACTATGATACATCCGCGGTTCCCAAAGCGCGTCAGCGGTGCCAACCTGACGTCAGCCGAGCCCAGCACACGCTTTGAACACGAGAACTGCGTCACTCGGACGTATGCGCTCGTCAACAATCAATCCGTCGACGAATATTCGGATCTGCGTTCGTGGCGAATGAGTGCCCTGACGGAACTTATCGTCACTGGCGAATGACAATTTCTATGGTGTGCATAAAAAGCACGGTGGAAGCTAGGAGTCATCGCACCGGTGCCGAAGAATGTCACGACAACGTGATTTCACAATTCGCGTTTGAGCTCGAGGATTAAAGCTAAGGAGGAAGAAGTGGGAAAATAGTTTCATTACCCCTTTAAAGTACAGAGTATAGTGCACAACTTAACGCAGGGGATGTCTTTGTTTCGATCCTGAGCTCTCGCACTATCATGACAAACGCAGAACGAAATCAGTTTTTTTTTACCTCGAGCAATATTTTGTTTTGCTGCTTGTTGATAAGTATTTTTTTTGTGTGTGTGCGTCTAAAACGTTGGTGACGCTCAAGTTCAAAAATTTACACTAGCTTGATCATGCTGACAAAGACCTGGGGAGTCAGCGTGTATGTGTCGAGCTACAATACGCATAAAGTGTGAGGTTAATCCGAGGGTGCGGACGCGAGCTGGTTAAGTGGAGAAACAGGGACAGGACATCACGAATCGTGTTGTTCTGTCACTTTCTTTCCCCACTCTCCAGGGTTACAAATGAAAGCCTGTGGATTGTGCATGCCGTCTGTGTGAGGCGGAGATTGGGCTGGTGTCTGCAAGGTTATTACAACCACACACTTTATGTTCATGGTGGCTAAAGGCATGCTATGTATACCGGTCTTTATGAGCCTTATTAAGCAGGTGATTTTTTTTTTTACTTTATAAACCCACTGTTAGCTTTCTCCACGCACCTGCTCTGCTTAGATAAGGTAGTGTATATCATCTAATTTTAAATATTGCTCACAAATGAAATCCCCGTCGGGGGTATTCTTGTGGCCGTGTTTAATGATGGACACTATGCGTTCATATGTTTCATACTACTTTAACCTTCGTGTAAACGTCAAGTGTGACGCTCGGGCGTTACAATTCTTCACCAAAATAACTTTGTACATATATTCCGTGTTCAAAAATGACCGACAAGGAGCATTTGAAGCGAGCGGAAGTGCGTGAAAGTGGAAAGAGAAACATATGTCGGCCAGCAGTGACGCGCGAAATGCACAGGGGCAAGAAGCTTGATGTTCCAGATGTCTACAAACGCAGTTCGCAATGTGCAAACAAATCATTTTTGGCGCCTTAATATTGGCGGATGACATATCAAACGTACTTTATTGGTTCTGGGCAAGGATGTTATAATAAGCAGAAGGTGGTGTCCGAATTCTCTATATAGGGGGAATTCGGACCCGCCACTTGGTCGCTTGGCTAGTCGACCAAGCGGCGAGCAGACGACGAGAGCAGCGTCGGTGCGCAAGGCAGTCTGGGATTGACTTCCATTTCCGGCGTGCTTGAGCATGAAGCCATGCTCGAGCATGAAGCCATGCTCATGGACTACCCATTATCATTCCAATCGTAACCAATAAGAGCTAGACGTTCTGACGTCACCGCAACAACTGCTCGAGAAGCAGAAAAACTTGCGCTCCTCATTCACCGACAGCTGCAGGGCGTAGCTTGTCACGTTCATGCTCCTTGCTACGTGATTTGTTCCTATTGGCTAATTCGCAATCTCATTAACTGGTGAGTGAAATGTTAGCTCTCAAAGACCTGCGGTTCTATCAGTAAGTCCTTGTTGATTGTTTTTTTAATTATTATTATTATTATTATTTTTTTTTTACAGAAAGCGTGCAAGAAGGTGAACAGCACGCTCTACAAGATGTACATCGATTCGAACTCGACGAGGGCTCTCAATGACAGTGCTGTGCTCGGTGGAAAGTTTGGAGATGTCTTGGTGCCCTTATCGACATACGCAGACGCGATCGGAAACTGCAGCGAACAAGTGCAATCGTCTCCGGAGCAATTTTTCAAGTAAGGAAGTTTTGTTTTTAATAGCTTTATTTTTTATACGTTTTCGTATGCGTGGTCAGAGCGTTGCTGGGGGTTACAAATTCGCCACGACTCAATTGCCAACTCAGTCTATTGACTGAGTTGGCAATACATGATACATGCATGATGAGGTGACACCATGCATGTATTAGCGAGAAGATGGAACTATTGGAAACGTGCAACATGTCTGAAGCTAATGCGCCGCTCTGCTCTGGAAGCTGGTTGGCAGCGCCACCAACGACAGCGGCCGCGTTGCGTCGCATAGTGAAGGTGCGTTTATACTCCAACGTCGGCGAACCTAACGTTCGCCGGCGCAAAACGATGTTCGTCGTCCACTTCGCCACGCTGCCTCACGTTGCTGAAGGAATTGTCAACAGTGTCTATAGTCCGGCGCAGTCTATAGTCGGTTACAAGTCAAGAAGGTAGGAGAAGCTCCTCCCACAAGTGTGATGCGCCCGTTTCAAATCTCTCCGCAGTCGAAAGAAGAGTTCACTGGAAACGCTCCTTGTTCCGCTTCAATGGATTCCCACTTGTCTCCGATCCCACTTTTTAAGAAAGCGACCTTTGTATTCATCGGAGAGGGAACCGAGCCCCTGAAAGCAGCCTTTGTATCCATCGGGGGGAAGCTAATACCCGAAGGTCGTATTTGTTTCCGTCGGTGTGGGGAACTCTAATCTCCCTCTCGTGGCTTCCACAATGCTAAGTCAAAGTCGAAAGATAAAGCAAATATGTACAGAAAGGCAAGACCCTCCTCGCGCGTTGGCCGTGACGTCACGGAGACGGTGGGACGCTGTTGGATGCGGAGGTGGCGGAGGGATATCCGATTCCCTTTGAGGGGCATTTGCCGCTACCTTCTTAACCTGTAACTGACTATAGCGAGCCTCGACGCGCTCGTCCTTGCTACGCATGCGCGTCGTCATGGCAACCAGGGCAATCGCGTTACCATTTCCGGTTCCTCGGTTTGTCGCCGTTCGAAGCGAGCCCGCGAATCCTTGTTCCTCGAGTTTAGATCTGCTGTCAACATGAACGTAGACGCTCAAACAAAGAAAAAAAGAGCAGCTGTGCTCCTGTGGCGTCGAATCCAGCGCTGGAGGAGGCGTACGATGTATGTGCGCGACATCTTCGACAAGCGGGGTTGGGAAGAGGGATCACAGAGCGGGAAGCCCGAATGCTGAATGCATGTGTATGTGCGTGTATATGTCTTTGTAGGGTTCGGTGTGTGTGTGCAGCAAATACTCTTCCAGAACACTAGCGCGGCGTTCCTTTTCGTCACCGGCGCCGCAACCACCGTACCTTCGCTTCCCCCCCTCAACACGCACACATACGCGCCTACGCAATACCCACCCTCGCCGTCGTAAACCATCTGTACGAACGAGTGCGTGCATCCACAGTATGGGTGAAGGGATTGCCCCGAGGAATGCTTTTCCTAAACTATTTCTCGCAAACCACCGCAAAAGACGGGGACTTTTTTCTTTTTTTTTTCAGTCGTACGCATTGGGAGTGGGTAATTTAAAACTCTGTCCGTCTTTTGTCCAAACCCCTCGCGACGTTTCCATTCCTTTTCAACTTTGTCACATGGTGTTGTTTATTGCTGCTTGTCATTTTTGTTTTCCGTTCTTTCCGCGCGGGTTTGGTCGTCCGACTAAAAATAGCAGCAAAAATAATTTAAAGGATGCTTACAGCATTGACTATCAGTTTCGTAATAAACATATATGTAGCAGTGACAAGCGAGCTGCCATGCCGCGCATTTTGTGGGCTATTCATACTGGGCCAAAATAGAACGGGCCTCAGCGGGCCCGTGAAAATGAGTGTCGGGCCGGGCCGGGCCGGGCCGGGCCGTACCAGCTGTCGGAAATAAATAGCGGGCCGCGGGCTGGTCCGCACCCAAGAGACAGCGGGCCGGGCTGAAACGGGCTTCTAAATATCGGCCCGTGCAGACCTCTCGTACTCACAACTTCACTCGCGTAAGCGAGGACATAATTTGATTCATTTCGGCGAGTTCTACAGGCGGAGGAGACATTGACATGCAAAGTGTCAACTTACCGCTCTTCATGCCGCAGATAGTGGCCACCGGACGCCCATCGGTTCTCCTTCCTGAGCTTGTCCCGGTAATCGATGCAGCCAAGATCGTAAAAGCTAGGCGACCTCTGACTGCCTCAATGAGACGCTCGGCATCACTTGTTGGCAAGACCATTTCGCTCCCGCTCTGGCTCATCTGGCTACCGCCGTGCGCCATTTTGATTTCTCCCTACCCGTCGCTCGCGCAAAGGTTTCTGGGTAACGACCGTCGTCAGCCGACGCCGAGATTCGAGCAGGGCCTACCTCGGCGAAACGTTCGCCGACGGTCGCCGAGGCGCGCTACGTTGCGTCACGTTCGACTCTCGTCGAAGTATAGACGCTCCCTTTGCAGCAGCGTAACGCAACGAGGTCAAGCGCGTGCGCCCGTCGACGTTACGTTGGAGTATAGACGCACCTTGAAGCGCTATCCGCTCGGAGCTTTTCATAAACCTGATTTATATCGTGCGATTTCGCAGCTGCGGCGTTGAGCCCCGCAGCCTCCACCACGCTTTGTCTGCCGCACGAGCGACGTTGCAACTGCGAAATCACAGACACACCCCCAAAAAAAATTCTCACTATGTGATTTAGGTTTAATGTGCTAGCAGCGTCTTGGCTGCGTCTACGCCTTCCAGCGGCCGTGTTTCTCTATCTACTCCGGAGTAACGGTTTGCCACCTTGGAATTTGAAAACCTACCCGCGTCCATGTGTTTTCCTGAATGTGTTTTCACGTCATTCAATCCATAGGAGACGCAGGAAGCTTGGTTTCAATCGTGTGTCTAGCAGTTGTAAGCGGCAAAGACTCAACCAACGTTACTAGAACCCTCAGTTGGGAAACTCACCGTTGAAACCTGGGCCGCTGGCGTCCACCGAGACCGAGCTAAATACGACAACAGCGCCACTGTGGTCACCTTGAGCTTTTAGAAAACATGTTTTTGCGTGAAAACCGGCGGAATTTTTTTTTTCTGTAGTAACGTTTTTTAGAGTTTAGTATGAAAGGAAGGGCGCGTATTGTTTTCTAAAATCTTTAGTTTGCAAGGTTTTGCAGTACAATTAATATTGTTTTTATACAACCATGCCTCAATTGTGATTTCAGGTAGCGCGTCCCGACCTAGGTGCATCTTAACCTCGGTAGTAATCCGCAGCCCGTCCGCTTGGGAGACGGGGGAGGCACCCTCGAAGCCCCTTCCACACTATCTGTTTAAGCACCAAAATGGCCGGTCGAAGCCAAAATAGAAGTCACGTGCAGTTCCTCGAGTGGCCGCTGCGGGAGAAATGGCGGCGCAGTGATCGCCATTAGCTCGGTTCTCGAGTACGGATTGGTGCCACTTTTTCAGAGCAGTCTCTATGGGAGTTTCCCAACTGAGTGGTTCTAGTAACGTTGACTGCAACATACCGCCATGATTTTCTTTATCTGCGCTAGATTATGCCTCTGCGAATCGTTTATGTGTTCGACGGTCCGGAAATCACTAAGAGACGATATGCGTGAGAACCAGTACTTGATAAAACCTACATGAGAAGTATGTTTTCCTCCTCTTATTATCAGATTGTTCTTGGCTCGCCGGTAGATTGAGTAGATGTGCTGCGATTCAGATAAACGTGGCGGTTTTCGCCGGCGCATAAAGGAGACTCGTATTCTCAACTTGCAAATCTCGTAAAAAAATAAATGAATAAAAATTCGCGCCGAGTGGGGCTAGCTTTGACCATTTTGTATAGCGCCGGGCTCAGGCCGGTAAGCTGACATCCCTTAGAGACCAAGCTTGGCTACTACATATAATGTTTATGCCAGTCTGGTCGTGTTCTATGCGAAATGATTCTGCTAAGGACCGTACCGTGGAACCACTGCCCTGACGCGTGCTTCCAATAGGCGGCGTCTTGTCTAGCTTGCTTTTCACAGAGCTCGGTGTTTTCCAACACAAAGTCTGTGGACTGAATTCTTCACGTCTTCTTCCTTGATCGAACGTAGGGCAAAGATCGGACACAAACACTGCGTCAGCTCTTCGGATGGGACTCATGTTCAATTGGAGCTTGACTGATAGAACATGAGCCGAGCGGTGCGTCAAAGCCGGGGACAAATAATTCCTATTGTTGGCCCCATGGGTTAGGTTCGAACTTAGCCACCAGGGGCGCATTGGTTCAATCTCCTCTCGTGTTTCGTGTCATTAGAGTAACCCAGTTCTGAGTGCATAAGACTGCTCGAAGAGAACCGTTAACCGACTCCGCCTTTGACTGCAGTCGTCAAGTCCTGAACCGCAGCGGTGGCATCGAGGAGCTAGGCACTTTGCAAGGGGGTCTGGTCCTCGGTCTTCTTATCTCTTGGATTGCTGTGTTCCTCAGTGTCTTCAAGGGTGTTCGATCCTCCGGAAAGGTATCTTATTCCGATTGCGATTATTCTGTGCACCTCAGGTCGTCTTATTGGATTTTTCCAAATGAAATTCGATTGCAATGACATATTACGCAGAAATACTTAGCCTACAGAAAGAAAGAAACACACGCGAGCAAGAAATGGAAAGAAGCGCGTCAACCGGAGCACACGAATGACCAAAGCGGGCGCTGCGCGCGGCAGTTTCCACAGCAACTCGCGAGGACGCTGTGACTTGGACCTATGCCACGCCGCCACGGCGCGGCGTCCGCGCAAGTTGACCCTTTACAAATGTGCCCACCGGCTATAGTAGCTGCTAAAACTCTTACCCAAGTCCGCCATAGTTTGATCACGTATAGCCTATGCACGTATTGGACACAATCGCTGCGTTTGCGTTAGCGCTCGGCGTGAACCCGGCTCAGCCTTGTTTTCGTGTCCAAAAAACGAGCGTGAAGTGCACGTTTGAATGAATTGTCCGGTAAAATTTTGTGTTGGAGGAAAGAATTTAATATGATTGTTATTGACTCGAAACGCATAGTCCGTGCAATTGACTCCGTAAATGTGACGTCACGGGTCCAAACAAACCGTTGCTAGGGTCGTTGTTATGGACAAATACATGTGGCTAGATTTCGCTACGAAAACTCGACCGTTCAAAAATCGGGAGTAGGATTTAAACTTGTAAAAATCACAGATATAGGGAGCTTGAGTAACATATATGTTTCGACAGAAGTGTGCCGGTAATCGCTTGTTTCCGAAATATTTACGACTGCAACTTCCGGTCCTCAAGATGCCTGCAGCAGACGATGAATGCAAGAAGTATGCCGTCTGCCACACGCCACCCGGCCAAGCCGGCGCCGTCGTTTGAATCGTGTGAATAAAGACGATATTCTTATATTGCATCAGTTTGAAATATATTGAGTTTCAGACACTTATAAGAATTCAGGTTCGATGCGAAATATGGTTTATCGAAAGTCCGCGCGTTGATCGAGATGATCGTCTGCTAAAAGATTGCATTGCTTCCGTCAGAAAAGCACTTCAGCCGATCGGTTCAGATCCGAAATTTTGTTTGCGGACTCGAGCAAACAAAATTTGGGAGCTTCGTACCTCGTTGTAACCAAGCGTGGAGAAAGATTCTTGCGGTTTCTTCAGAATTCCAGAAGATACCAAAGTGCTAAAAAACTGCATAAAAAACATAATATGAGTACATGTATCACTGGCGGATAGTTGCCTTAATGTAAAAAAAATGGCCAAACCAACCGAGAGCACGTAAAACCGATATTCTGTTTGGTCCATAATGTCTTAAAATATGAAACTGTATTCATACATTATTACTATAATATTAAAAACGTAGTTGCATGTAAGTAGTAGTACGAGTAAAATCCAGCTGAAACTTGCAGTAGTCTTACATTGCTATGATAAAACAGCGTTGAGAAGTATGCCTGTGTCCATGCGCTATCCGTTTATTTTGTTTGTTTATATATCTACCTTTGGTGATGTTGTTTCATTGTGTTCTTTATATATGCTATTGTGTTCGGACTAGCTTTTTAATTTAGTATTTAGTACAAGAAAAAAAAACAGGAAAAAACTCACATATCAGTGGCCTCTACGGCTATGGCGATGCACATGAGAGAGGCCAGCAAATCTATCGTGTCGTCTGCTACCAAAGGAAAACGGAGTGTAATGCTTCAGAAATGAATTGCATCGTTTCAATTCGAAATTGAGACAACAAGAAAACCTTCATAATTAAATATCAAGAAGTTAGGTTGCTTACAAAAAATTATTTACTTAGTTGTAAGCAAAAATCTAGCCTAATGTGGTCTCCATACATTAGTCCATGGCAACGTCCCTAACAACGGTTTGTTTGGACCCAGACGCTATGTTGTGACGTAGTCACTTACGAGGTCAATATCTGTATTGTATATGCCCCTCTGCGTTAGTAATAGGCAATATAAAAATAGCAGCGCCCCTTGCGGTTCAGGTTTACTCTAGGAGAAGAAGACAGTCAACGGATAGTTTCACTTTCGGTTTCGCTGGGTTGCGAATCTGTCATCTGCTGTCGTCTCCGCACGGCCCTGCCGTGCCAGCTCAATGCTTGCGCTTGTTTGAAACCTCGGTAAACAGCCACTTAGACTAGTACTACAGTTTTATAACACCCTTCCCTATTGAAAAATCCACCAGCCCGGGTCTGGTGTGTTTCTGTCGTTTACACTAGAGCGGAAATTCAGACACGGGTCTTGGCGTGTCCTATTGTCTTGGCGTTTTCTGGTGGTTTGGTGCGCTCTTGTGTCTTGGGGTGCTCTGGTATCGTGGCGTGTTCTAGACTCTTGGCGTGATCCTGTTAGTGCGTTCTGATGTGACCCGGCCGATGTAGTGTCTTCTGGGGTGACCTGGTCATGCATGCACGGTATAATTTAGATGCGGAAAGGACTGCTAAAGACAACAGCTAGCAAATTTTGCAAAAAGAGCACCAATTTTTCAATGGGTTAGGTGTTCATTCTGGCATGAAACAAAACTACAAAGACAAAGAGAATGAAGCTTAATATTTTTATTTTTTTCCCAACATGCACCACTCGTAAACATTCCCTTGCACACAGGGCTGTCCATGGCTTTTTTCTTCTATGCCGTTTTTGCCAGGCATCTGGTGGTAAGATGATGGCTTGAGCAAGTTGGTATTGCGTGATAAAACCTACAGTGCATGAAAAAATACACCAGCAGGTATTCATAATAAAGCTTAAAATAATAAAATCACTGCTACAACAGTAAACAATGAAGTTCTGTCGTGTCCAGCCTGATAATCAGTCAATTTATCACTCGGCTGCCCTCCCGCATTCCATCTGCTTTCTTCTACCTGTGGGCAACATAATACAGTCAATCCAGATTTTATCGAACTCGCAAAAAAAGTCTACCACTACGATATAGTGGGCAATTCTATGTAGAGGTTTTAATGAATTTGACAACGAACAAGCACGCCACATTTAGAAAAGTAGTTTACTCTCGAAGGGGCATCTGTACGTCATGAGGGACGCTCGCCACAGAAATTTAGTGGCCGCTTCTTCGTTTACCGGCTGACCATCTCTCGAGCCCTGCAGTTTGATTATCTGCATCCGATCCGTATCCGCAGACTTTGTATCCGCATCCGAACCGCATCCGCAAACTTTTACATTATTGTATCTGTATCCGATCCGCATTCACATATTTTGTATCCGTATCCAAACCGCATCCCTAAAATGTGCAACCAGATCCGACTCACAATCCAGGCATTTATTGTATATCATGACATCGAGCGAGAATGAAAAAAAAAAGGAATACAAAAAGCACGTTTTAAGTCGTTTGCTTATCTTTGTACAAATAGATCTTCGCGTCACCATTCAAAGGAGATGTCATTTTATCAATATCAGTTTCATCGTATTTATATTAAAAGCGATATGTCTTCCCAACACACTGGGCGTCGAAGGAAAAATTATCTCAGTTATATGATCGTCCTAGGAGTCCGCGACACTTTGCCCAGAAGTGCACAGAAAGGATGTCAAGGCACTTCTTTTGTTTTTGGAATCATGACCACACTACTCTTTGCGGAGAGGGGGACGTTCCTTCTACTTTATTGTGACTTGTACGTTTGAGGCTTTCTTTGCCGGGAGAAAGTTTCCAATCTTTCCCTGCCAATGTACTAGCTTTCTCGGAACCATTGATGCCCTACAATCTTTACTTCTTCTTTAGATAGCATTTTTGACAAGAGGAAACGCACTAACTGAAACGATCTTCAGTGAGATTCAGATCTTTCTTAGGATTCCTATTGTTTCTTCGAAACGCGTTTTGTGGAAATACGTTTCGTGAATAACTTTTCATAGACATACATTTTATGGACACACGGTTCGTGGACTCTGTACGTTTTGTGGGCGGGTGTAGGGCAACTCTTCGAAATGCAATTTGTCGAAGGGCAACTCGTCGAAGGGCAATTCGTCGAATAGGCCGATTTGTAATAGGGAAACTTGTCGAAGGGCTGTTTGTCGAAGAGGCCTTTTCGTCGCCACTCGTCGAATAGGCTGGTTAGTCGATATCCTTTTAAACGCACCATTTTGCATCTCCGTTTGAGCAAGGATACTTCAGAATTTCATCATTTCTAACATACATTATATGTGCTCGCGTATGAATATTTTTCTATATAAATAAAATAAGTCACAAGAGAGAACAGTAAAAACGAAAAATTTAGTAATACAAATGAACGCACACCATTACACATCTCTCTCTCTCTCTCTCTTACAGTCTGATGCTAAAAGCGACTGCTCGGAGGGTGTCCAAAGCGTTGCTGGGAACGTACTGCGACAATATGTTTTCAATCCTGACGTTGCAGTATTGATACTTTCGTTTGGGCATCCGAGCGACGTGTCGCGCGCTTGCTTGGGCCAACTTTGTTTCATTGAGGGCTTGCTCCTTTTTGAGTGCGGCCAGGAAAACCCAGATTGGTGGGCGAAGCGCAGGCAACAGTGGACTTCAGAGAGAACAAATCGAGACCAATCACTCTCTGTGCACGTCAAAACGCGCAATTAATGGTCCTTACCTGAAATCCCCTGTGCCAGGCTTCAGCACTGTTGCTCGTGTGCGGCAGGTGCTGGTGGACCGCGTCGTTCACGTTCCACAGTGACGGCGGGAATATCGGCGATATTCTACGCAGACCACGACGACGGCTCAAGTATGTGTCCTCAAAGTATTGGGCAAGAGGCATAGCTTCGTCGGGGAAAATCTCCATCAGGGAATCAAACGCGGCGTCCAAGTCGCACAAGGGAATGAGTGCCATCGCCGGAAGCATCCTCATCTATAAATACGTGGACACGATCGTTGCGTCAGAATATACTGAGGAGCTACAAATTTTCGCAAACTTGCCAAGACGGAAAAGTCTTTGTTGGTGTCATAGCGCTGTCTGAGATCGTGGTTTTCCTGCAACTTTCTGTACACGGATTGAGCGAGGTGAAAGGAACACGCCTGAAGGCGCACGCCAGGAAATTGGTTCTGGAACGAGCTCATCGATGCGAGCTCGAAGTCCGTGTTTATCACCTTGGCGCTGAGGTGGTTGATGTGGGCTCGCAAAACGCTGAACAGTCTAATAGAACCGGAAGGAAAAACAAGTATAACCTGCAATGTTAATAACCGACAAACTGTTCATAACAACAGCATGTCTTGCGAAAAAATGAACAGTACGGGAATATGTCTCACCTTGCGTACGTTGACTGTGTCTTGTTCGACAGAAGAGCAAAAACGAGTGGCACAATGGCTCGATGCAGCGATCCGTGTATGGTGTACACTTGGTAGAAAAGCGAGGGGGACACCTTAAACGTCTTGTCGGCAAAGCAGAGCTCTGACTCTCCAAGCTTCCTCAAGTTTTCAGCGGTAGAAAATACGAGTATCCATTCCAAATCGCCGAGGCCAGTGTCATAGTGAAGGAAGTCCTCCCCACGCAGGGTTACCTAAGAAAAAGAGCGCTACCTGTCAGCTAAAAGAACGCAATTCTTTACGCACGAGGACACAGCGCACCCGCAACAAACACTAGGACAACGTTCACAATCACACCAAAAGAAAGGGACACTTACACAGCGCTGACTTCAACTCTTTGTATATTCCCGCCTTTTCTCTTCTTTCACGTCTAATGCATAACCTAGGCCTCATCTTTTTCTTTCTTTGCTAAAGGTTAACTGTAAAAGTTTTAAGCCAGAAATTGAAAATTAAAAATTAAATGAAAAATTAAATGAAAAATTAATTTTTCATTTAATTTTTCATTTAATTTTAATTTTCAATTTCTGGCTTAAAACTTTTACAGTTAACCTTTAGCAAAGAAAGAAAAAGATGAGGCCTAGGTTATGCATTAGACGTGAAAGAAGAGAAAAGGCGGGAATATACAAAGAGTTGAAGTCAGCGGTGTGTAAGTGTCCCTTTCTTTTGGTGTGATTGTGAACGTTGTCCTAGTGTTTGTTACGGGTGCGCTGTGTCCTCGTGCGTCATGAACTACCAACTCGCCCGAACTTCTGTTTTAACAACGCAATTCTTGTTGCGACCACCATGTGCACTGATTTTTTGACAAGCTTAAAGTCTGTCAATAACGCATACCTTGAACTCAACTGGGATTTCCAGGTTCCGCTTTGTTGTCGGGATAGTATAAGGGTGGATGGTGCGCCGTCGCTGCTTGCGTAGCGTTCGCCGCGTCGTGCTCAAACTTTGCATCTGTGAAGCCACAGCGTCCGTTGAGGCCGCGGCAGCTCCGAGAAGTATCCGGTGGTTGCTTTCGCGTCCCTCCACTGTTAATAAAAATATCAATATGACTGGTGACTTTTTTCGCAGTTCGGAAAAAGCAGGTCGTACGATGTACGGGAAAAACGGTAAAGCTCGGTGCCTACCTGCTTTCGCTTTCATGTCGTCTCTCACTGCAAACAGGCTGTTCTCTACAGGGTCGCCGGAGTAAGTGTGCTCTCCAGGTTGAAGTAGTACCGAAGTCAACGCAACATTTGTAGATAGCTTGGCTTTACAGAAATCCCGCTTTCTACAAACCCAGTACATGGAGGACTCTGTCTTCTTGTTACAGGTGTAGAATGGCCCCCATAAGGAAGCATATCCGCTCTTGGGTTGCCAAAGGCATGGTAGCGCTTTTTAGACGAGGGCAAAAGAAAGACTAGACAAGACAGACACCAGCGCTGACTGCAACTATTTCATCAACATGGAAATGACGTATATATACATGCTTCGATCCTATCAATCAGCCAACCCCAGGCCTTGCCGCCGCTCACATGAACGGCACCTCCTTATCGAAAAGGTCGATGGATGCAACGCTAACACACACACCCCACCCCCGCCCCTTTTTATCTCGTCCGCTTCGATGATTTCCCTAACAGTTCTATTTTTATGTTTAGCAGGTACTGAGCATGAGTCGAACAACGGGTTGCATCCGCAGCCATGGCAATGCATTGAGAGGTGGCCATCCCGATAGTTTTTGGCGTTAAGACTATGTTCCCGGAGCCTGTCGTTCAGGCATCTTCCAGTCTGACCTTACATATTTCTTACCGTGGGTTAACGGAATATGGTACACCACGCACTCAACACAAACGACAAACGGATTTCTCTGCCTTATCACACAACCGAGCGAGGTTTTGCGGAAAGGGTTCGTCAAATGGCTCAGCCTGGCTAGTTTTTCTGGCGCAGAAAAGACCACCTTAGTATTTATGCGGCTTGCTATTTTCTTTAGGTTATGCGCCGTCTTGTGCATATAAGGCACGACTGCAATCCTTTGTTTACTCCTGACCTCTTCTAGACGGGTGTTGCCCTTTGCTCGAAACCTCTTAAGGATCACCTCCTCTACCGATACCAGTACATACTCCGGGTAACCAGCCGCCAACAGACGTTCAGACTGCTCTAACGGGAGATGCTGCAATTTTCGTTCGAAGTAACCGCATTTATCGCTATGCATTTGTATTGCAGCTACTAGACCGTTCACAAATAGTTCGAATTAACCGTATTCGATATTATCAGGTTCGACTGTAGATCGAACCTCAAGGCCTCACTCCCAGTGTGCAAAGCAAGCGCTGCGCCCCACGCAGCATTTCTCCTGGTCTGCCCGCATTCACCTTGTCTCACCTCATAGTGCCTCTGACTGTACATGTGTGCTGCACAAGGCAAAATCAACAATAGGTTCATAAAGATATCTCAAATCGTAGTAAATAGTAACTGTGCTGTGCTTAGTTGTGCACATCATGTGCACAGCTAAGCACAGCTCAGCCACAACAGATCCTGTGCCCTTCCAGGTTGATCAGAAACAACCACCTGCCAGAGCGTCAATTTTTCCGTGTGTGGGTGCTGTGGGCTTCTTGTCCACTGCACCCACACCAGGATGGTAGAGTGGGCTTCTTGCCCACTGCACCCTCCTGGAGGAGACGTCTGCAGGCTTGCCCTGACACACTCCTATCGAAGAGCTCCACAGGCTCCCATAGTGATCGGCTGACCATTCTGAGAAAGCGGCCAGGGGTGGCAGCCTTTTTCACGGCGTGTGTAAATGCTGCCTGTCGGATTTTGATGTCATGTCCAAGATGAATCTGCAGTGAGTATCATTGTCAAGCAAATGCATAAAAAGTGGAATACAGATGGGCTCTACACTTTCGTCTGCAATCGTGTTTCTGGTGTGTTTTACTTATATGCTGAATTGTACTTATATATAAATAAAAATGACATATATTAAAGGGGCACTCCGTAGTATTCCAAGATGGCCTATTAATGTTCCTAACTCAACCTATGTGCTCTAAGTCCAAAGTTCAAAACTTACAATCATGTTCAGTTTATTTCACCATTGGAAATGCGATCAAAGACAGCGAATATGGTTGAAACAAATCAAGGCGAATAGGGTGGAACGACGAAAGACACTCATTGTCCGCAAACAAGCCGGCGTTTGCCCACACCAGATTAGGGCATTGCGATTGCACATGAAACCAGGTGCGCGTGAGGAGAAGCATCTGCGCAAGCGAATTGCAGACTGCAGCGCTACCGTAGTAGCGCGAGATAAAAACATTGAGTTGGTTTATACTATTCCTTTGGAAACAAAACCGGACCACTGGTAAACATCTTTTGGAAAAATTCGGCAGAGATACTTAAGACTGCTTACATGTAGGAGTGCGAAGCATTCCTACACGCAGCAAGCCACGTCTCCCTTTTTCACACGGTGCTCCGGCGGTGACATCACGCTCTCCCACTGCGCAGGCGCGGCGCGCCCACCGGCTCCACGGTTTCCGGGACGACGCTTCTGCGTTGTTGTTCTTTTCTTTTTGTTTTGTAGCATGAGCTACGCTAGCCGAGGTTGAGCAGTTTCGCGTGGCTCCCAAAGAGTCGTGCTGCGCATGTCCGAAGAGCAGTGACGTGACACGGCGCACAGCTGGCGCGCCGGAGCCGCCACCGCCGCGCTCTCCGCCGCCATCGCGCGCGCCTTGCCGGTTTGCGCATTCCAGAGGAGCGACGTCAAAGCCGCGGCAGACGCACTGGCGCCGCCGCGCGCCCAGCCGTGCGCCTCCGCGCGCCCAGCTGTGCGCCTCCGTTGCACAGTAGCCAAGTTTGGCGCTGCACCGGAGCCTCTTGATAGCGCCTTTCATTTTGTGCGTATAAGCTCACGCTACTTATATCCTGGCATAGCCGAGCTAAGCCACCGCAATTTTTTTTTGTTATTTCTGAGGCGCGGCCGTTTTGACTTTGAGCAGCTGGCCAGCTTCCGTAACGATACATCTGCGTTGCTGTGATTTTCTTTGTGTCTTATTTCTGAGCGGCGTCCGCTTTGACCTCGAGCGGTCTCGCCGACCTCCGTGACGAAGCATCTGGTATGACGCGTCGTTTCGCTGAGTCAATGGGCATTTAGGTGTCATTTCTCGCTGGTACAGACAACGGCTACAGACGCCGCCGGCTTCACTCCATGCTATATTCGGTCCATTCCCCCTTTGACGGTCGAGTTTTCTTTTAATGCTTTCGCACTAAAAGAAAACTCGACCGTCAAAAGGGGAAATGGGTCGAATATAGCCTAGCCTACGTTCATGGATGTGTGAGATATGTACCTCTGTTTTCGAGCCTAGATACATCAATCTGACTTTGGGTACCTTTACAGGTGTCCTACTTCACCGCTCTCACGCCCTTCTTCATTCTCGGAGTCATCATGGTTAGGGGTGTTACACTCCCTGGTGCCATGGACGGCCTCAAGTACTACTTGCTTCCAAAATGGGAGCAACTGTTTACGTTTAAGGTTTGAACCGACAACACAATTATAATACTCGACAGTGGTTTGAAACTTGATTGCGATTTCCACTCGTCGTTTTGGGGGTAATGGCCGAAATCTGCCACGGAGCACGGAATCCGTGCGGAATCGGTGCGCTTCCGAGTGCACCAATAGAAACGATCTCTCCTCCCAGAGCGGCGCGTTCGTTCGGTGACAGAGGTACTTTAAAGTTGTAGATGGGACAACATATCTATTGTCGGTGACATGCTAAGAATGCGGTACACCTCCAGCTCACGCTTGTTGGCTTCCGCTGGGTTTCAGCTGCACGTAAGCCGAAGTTTTAACAATGTCAGAAACCTCGAGTTGGAGGCGAAGCCTCTACTGAGTTTTTAACATGTTACCGACTTTAGCTTTCATGGTAGTCAATCATGTGCGGACAGTAACGTGCGCGTTTTTGTAATTATTTACTCAACTAACTACTTAATAGCGATCAAGCGTGATGTCGTAGAAGCCGCAGCTACGGACCTGAATAGTAAAAACGTCGTTGAAATGAAAATGACCAGCAATGTGAAAAGGCAAAGAAGCAGCAAAATATGTATAAAATGTGAGCGACTCAAGACAACTTTCAGTAATGAGAGTGTCCACAAAAATGTCGCCGGTCACAATCTTGTATGCTCAAAGCAATAAAACAACCGTTACCAGACATCTACAAATGTATTAAAACGTCAAAAGTGTCCGAAAAAACAAAACACGTAAGCCATATTTCAAAGCATGCAAAAAAGTCAAATGGACAGTATTGAATGATACGAAGTGCGATAAAACATATTAGGGATTAGTTTTGTTTTGTAAAAAGAGAGGGACAGCACGGTGATGCGCGACCAGCTATTGGGGGCAGAGACTTTCGTGTGTCTTCATGGCAAAGGACGTCGTTCTAACTGCGCTACACAAAAGTTTTTTTTTTTTTTTTTTTTTTTTTTTTTGTAACGAGCATATTGGCGATTTAGGCGTGGGCTGCTAACCAGGTCGAAGAACGAGCATCAATTTTGCATCGAATTTGGCAAATTAAAAAACTAATTAAATGATTTGGCAGGCTTATGGCGAAAACCAGTGAGTCGTGCGAGGTGTTTTGAGTGGTGCTGACGTTTCAAGGATGGCAGTACATCACGTAAGACTAAGAGAGTTAGGTTCTCTTCGTCTTATGTGTTGATCCCGATCGCTTATTGGCAGGCACGCGCTCTAGAAAAAAATTACTCGGGAGCGCTCGAAAACGACGATTGGAAATCGCCATGAGGTCATAGAAACACTCGTCTCCGCTAATAACGACACGTTCAGACTAAAGTCACTGGATCAAGATCCAGTAGCGCCAGGCTCCCCTCCCCCTATGGTCGCCATTTTGATTAATGGCGACCAAAAGGGTGAACCAATCGAAATTCCCGGTGACAGGTTGCTTTAAAAATACATTTCTTGATTACCCATATTGTGTTATCCACAAACTGGAGAGACAAACGCACATCTTCGCACCACCACCTCGTGCGGCGACGGTGCTTGGCGGCATTAAAAACTTCTCTTGAAATACGGAAGGACAACAATACCACTTTAAGAGACCTCTGGGAATAATCATGATTGAGATGTTGATTTTATGCGGAGTGCCGGAGACGCTTATATTGGCCAGGAACGCTTTCAGTACCATGATGGTCCATAGCGATCTTGGCGCGACAGGTTCAGAGAAGATTTGAATGGAGCGAAATAACAATTGGCCATGGTAACTGAGGCCGATCAGCCAATCACTTTGCAAGGTTTGGTCGTCTGGAGGAATAGGCATCTGTTCCCGTCCGTGTAGCGGGCAGGTAAGTCAAGGGCGCTACTTTCCCAGGCCCGTGACTTTAGTTCAGACGAGAGGGGTAGAGCGAATTACTGAAAGCATTGTAACGAAGCCCGTACTGTGACTAAATTGCATTCTGGCGTTTTGTTGAGCCACCGCAACACGGTGTTTGTTGGGATTTGTGGTGATCCTGCCGATGCTTGAGTTCGACAAGACAGGGTTCAGATTCCGCGAACTTCTGACGCGAAGTTTGGCCAAAGTTTGTCTAACGTTCACCCTCCATGGGCATGCGCGAAAATTAAAATCGAGCTGGGCGTCACATGGCGGAGAAAAAGGGGAAGTATTTAATGGGTAGATGAATTGTTTTAATGTTTAACATTACTAAACTGTCTAAAGCACTAGGAGTGCATGCGTTTGTTCTTTATATTGGCTAAATATTCGCACTCATTTTGAAATATATAAAATAAATTACTTTATAAATTTGCTTTCCGAAATTTTCACTGCATAGATTGGTACGCATTTGTTACCGTCTAGGTCTGGCGCAGTGCAGCCGTGCAGATTTTCTTCTCCATAAGCTTGGCCCAAGGATTGAACATGTGCTTAGCCAGTTACAACGAATTTTCGAATAACATCGTGAGGTAAGTCTATCAACTAGAAACATTTGTAACTGCCATATTTCGTTGCATTGAGCATAATGACTGCTATAACTACAGGGCCGGCTTGCTTGAACAGCGTCTCAGCTGAGACTGGGTGAAAAAAAGCTCTGCAAAGGCTGGGGTGCGCGAGCGTCTCGAGACGCGGGTTGAGTCCCGCACAGCTCGTACATTTTTTGCCGGTGCTTTCTTTCACCCAGTCTCAGCTGAGACGCTGTTTCTAGCAAACAGCCCAGGGAGTTCCAGCACGTAATTCGGTCATAAAAAAAATTGAAATAGTTTAGCCAATGAACGGAGTGCGAGTGTCTTTGAACGATGAAATTATTGTGTTCAAAGTTTATGAGTTGGAAGTTAAATTAAATAAAAGCAAAACGTCATATTTATCTTGCCAACAGCAGCATGTTCCATCTTGTTTCGGAAGCCACCGACGTCACGCCAGCGTCGCGTTGCGATTGGTTGCCAATTCGTGGTTCGCGAAAACGGGTGGGAGAAATCGGTCCCGAAGCGGTTGGCAAAAACGTGCCCCAACCGCTCAATCAAAGCCGCTTTGCGGTTGAGGACCCGCGGATCCGCTTCGCGGTTGCCGCTTCGCTTCCAGTGTGAACGCGCCTTTAGACGCTGCTTGATTAGTTCCATTAGCTGGTGGCGTCTGCTGCGTCTGAATTTATATAAACGAAGTCCAATCATTCCAACCAGAGCCCGCGTCCTCACGTCTTCTCCTTTCGCACTGTTACCCGTCCCATAATTTAGGTGCCAACAAACTGACGGAGAAGAGGAAACAAGAGCGTGTGAAGGACGTAAGAACGCCGAGCTCTGGGTTTCTAATCTGCAGATTAGGCGAAAAAGTTGGTGAGGAATTTGGCGGCAGTGATTGGCATGCGCCGCACTTGACCTTGGCGCCGGCTCCTGGCGGTCAAATTCCCCGCCGACGTTTGTGCCAAGTGTGCTCATTAGAGCCCCTGGTTGGAATGATTAGTTGGTAGAACCATAGCCTCATATGTACCGACAAACCCTGGCAGTACATCACGAGAAGCGGCCGCTGAAACGGAAAAGGTAAAGCGGCAGACAACGGAAGAAAGTAGAGCCACGTGACTGGCGCCCCGCTGCGGCGAGACACTGAAACACACTCCTCCCGAGTGAACAAGTGTGTTTCTGGTTCTCGCCGCTGCAAAAGATGTGCGCTGACGTCCAGGTTCTCGTAGGGTTTCCCGAGAAATGGCTCGTTAATGTTCTGTGCAACCAGATCCTCGCTCTCCAAATCTACGACCGGGCACTCTATGGTTCCGTCGTTGAACTGCTAGGTTTTGTGAGTATAAAGGAGGCTATGGTAGAACTAAAGCCAGCGACCCTTTCCCCCACTGCAAAGGCGTTAGAACGCGGAACGCCACTGTACGTGCGACGTTTGGCTGTCGCATTCGAACACATTTCATGTGTCGGTACTTTCCTCGTTAAAGGGATGCTGAACCGAAATTCGGATTTCACAAAATAAGGTAGCAGGAGTGTTCAACGGGGCGCCACAAGCTCCAAAACATCGCTCATAAAGCGATATCTCGAACAGATGGCCGTATTTTTGTAAAATAAGGATGCGATTGAGCGAGAATCCTGACGTCTCGTTTCCTGCAGAATAGTTGAGGAGAAAAGGAAACGGCCTTGCTTCCTTCCCTCTTCGCGTCCTCGCGGAGTCAAAGCGAGAAAAGAAGGAAACGAGAATCGAGACGTCACGGTCCTTTCTGGCCTTGCTCAAGCGCGCTCTTCTTTCACAAAAATACGACCATCCGTTGGAGATATCGCTTTCAGAATGACGCTTTCGGGTTTGTAGCGTTCCACCTAGCACTTTTGCGTTGTTTTTTGAGATCAACATTTGGGTTCAGCATCCCTTTAATGCTGAAACTTGAACTGCATTTCGATGTGTTTGATACTTTCTTGCTGATGCTTTTCCTAGGTTTTGTTTTAACGGTGGAAATTGAACTTCCTGTAGACTTAGGTATTTTGTTTGTGCTGCACAAACGTTAATCAGGGAGCCTGGGGCATCTTGTGAAATAATTTTCCACACGTCTCTTGTATCATATAATTAGTACCTCAGTCAAATAAAAAAAATACAGCAAGAATATCTTTTTAGATTTGGTTGTCGGAGGAAAGTACGGCGCTCCTTTGCCTTTGCAACGTGCTCGTTCTAATAAAATTTAAAAACCGACTGCTCTCGATTGCTCAGTCAAGTATCATAAGTTACCACCGTAAGAAAAATCTGAGTAGCGCTCTAGGAGGAGCGAGGCCTTTTACGTGGAATAATTTTAATGCTCTTCCCTCCCCGTACTTTTTTACCTGCTAAATTACCGCTGAATTCAAAGGAACGTAACGTCATGTGGCATCCTGACGTCTCATCACATGTTCATGTACCTCGTGACTACGTGACCACAGTGCAGCAGATCACGTGACTGTTTTGTGTATTCTGCCTACTCTGCGTACGACAATTCTGCCAGGTATGATTAATTTTACTATGGTTCTTGAGGCGAAAGAGTGTATAGTCCCATGGAAATGACCAACAGCGCCGACGAATAAAGAAGAACAGCTCCTTGTTGCGTATTAAACCTACCGCTGCCTCTTCAGAAGCACGGTCTTTCGAGTTCAGGCGCCCTAATCTGGACTCTTGGCGAAAACGTCGACCAGAAATCGGGCGACTGTGAATGGCCAGAGCCAAGGTCATGTGCGGTGTCGGCCAATCACGGCCGCCGGATTTCTGGCGGACATTTTCGCCAAGTGTCCAGATTAGGTCCCCAGGTTTGCAAACAAAGCATAAAGTGCTCGTTCCCTGGTCATCTGAACTATGTTGCCAAAAACGCGTCTTCGACTGGTCTGTTAGCGTCCTATCCGGGGCAGCGAGTTTTACGTGACGTGAGAGTCGTACGGAGGTATACATCGCTATAAAATCTGCGCTCGCCCTAAAAAAAAAAAAAAAAAAAAGAAACATCATAGTTTAAATTAGTCTCCTGGCGGAGGATTGATCCAGTGATGTACAAGTATACTCAGCACGCGTGCTTAAGACATGATACTGTAGTAACTGAAAAGGTAAGAACGGCACGGAGGAGCTTCAGTTGTCCCACCTCCAGCGCGAACTTTCCACCTTCGACAACGTTTCGGCGACTCATACACTTCAAGCCCACGGGGAAGCCATTTAGCGCGTGCTGGAGTTCGGACGTTTAAAAGAAAGGCCCTGTCGTTTTAAAGGGGTACGGAAACCAAATTCTGAAGCTCATTTCTTTGTTTCAACACGACGCAGGTAGCAGCACAACCACAGAAACATAAATATTGCGCTAGAAAACGCAAGAAAACATATTTTAAAGTGAATTAAACGATAATCAAAAACCACCTGGTAGTTGGTTATGAAGCTTCAATGGAATGTCGTGACGACAACATGCCTCTGAAAGCAGCGCCGCAGCGGTATGTCCGCTCACTGGTATAGATTGCCTAGGCCTGAACGCAATACCGAGGCGTCTTGGTGGAAAGAGTCAAAACGAAGTGAGCCACCTTGGTTTCAGCTCTCGCGCGACGTGCAAACGCGTGCTTCGGTTGTTCTCAGGTTTGGTGCGCGTGCTGGCCCCGCGATATCTACAGCCCTTGGGTACTTCGACAAAGCGAGATTGTAACGCGTTGACGCCTCCAAGTGGCAAAACTCGTCACTACGGTACGCTTGGTCGTCCGAGGCATGATGACGTCAAGACGTCTGCCGGATCTCCCGAGATGCATCGCGCTCCTCCATGGCTGATTTTGAAGCGCTCGCCAAAATCGCGGCATTTAGAGCATAAAATATAGCCATCTGCTCAAAATACGACCGTGCGATTATTCATTACAGGCTTAGCTGATCATATTGAACTCATTTCTTGATGTTTTCTCTATATTTCAAGTTTCGATTCCGTATCCCTTTAACTTTGTCAGTTACTATAGGTGCTTATTTCGTACCATGTTCAGTGTACTGTTCAAATCACCTCCACTATACTGTGCCTGGAACTCGTTTTCGAACGGCGTGTTTAGCGTCATATCCAACCCTTACATCAAACGTCGTGCCGAAGTGGCAACGGAGGACGTCACAGAAGCCGGCCTGTCATGCTGTATAGGATGTCGCGACCCTGGTGGTTGGTGGATAGTAGTCCCGCTAAAAAGTAGGGGCGAACGCGGGTGTCGCCGTCGTCCCGGAGCCCCAACCCGTGGCTCCTCAAGCTTCTGTGAACTGTAATACTGGAAAGCGACCTGATGTGGAACTGGCTTCTCCAGCGCCCACCACTGCCGCTGTGATACCGCTAGGATTACAACCGACGACATGACACTTCCCTGACTTCGAGGGGTCATGCTTGAGGGGTCATGGTTGAGGATGCGGTAGACACGCCGGTCGGAGTCCTGTTCCAGGAAACATATCTGAGCACCCCTTACTTGGAAAGGGGTCGGTGACCTAGAGAAGCGAGAAGTTTCAGGGAGGACACTAAGACGATACATCTGACCGCTAAGGACCGTTGCAGGAACGTGTATGTCATCGCCGTGGCCGATTCTTTTACCAGCATCTTCGGGGGTGTTGTCATATTTTCGGTGTTGGGTAACATGGCCCTGCAGCTGGACACCACCATTCCCGAAGTCATGAGAGGCGGTGAGCTTTTCCTGCACAAATTAATTTTTTCATTGTTTTTTGGTTCATTAACGATCTTTGTTTCACATCTGTGTAAACTCGCAATGTTCTCAGACTGAATGAAAGGTTCCCAACTTTGACTTACAGCCTCGCTCGCAGACTTAGTGTTGAACCGTTTTTGCTTACGTTACTACCTGGCATTGGCGACTCCAGCGAAATCGACGGCACCTACCGGCTAAAACAAAAAGCTGGGGTGGCAGGCTCGCTAGCCAACTTTCTCAAGCGAATCAGATATTGACAGTGCTTGGTGGTATAAAGGTAGTAGGTTAAAAATGAAAGCCGTTTACAACTCCCTGTAACACCGAGTTAGAGCGCAGCAGTTGAGGAGGAGGAGGGAAGGGTACTGAGGGGAGGGTATACCCCTCCTCCCTCTTCACCTCGTGATCCTGCCTGCTACTCCTCCTCCCCTCCCCCTCCTTCCCAGGGTCACGTGACCTCGGGGTGAAGGGGGTCACGTGACTTGGGGGTGGGTCACGTGACCTGGGGGTCACGCGACCTGGGGGGGGGGGGGGGCACGTGACCTCACGGTTACGCCGACGCCGCTCAAGCCGAAAACGGGTGCCTCAGAGCTGCGCTCTAAAATACGTCAAGAAAATCGCCAATACGACCGCGATTTACCGGGACATGCTTTTGCTGGTGACGCTCGCCACGGTGCATGTCCCAGGCAGCACAAAACGTCGTGGAAACGTCAAGAAAAGGTCCCTGACGTCCATAACGTCCAGCGTGACTTCGATCACGTTTTTTTTTTTTTTAATTTTGAGGTGAAGTCCTTATATAACGTTCCATTAGAGTCCCATCAGTGACGTTGTGACGACGTTGTATTTCAACTCAAACGTCGTCAACGTTTAACGACGTTTGCCAAAGTCCATAGTGACGTTACATTATTGTCCCGTCAGTGACGTTTGAGCGACATCGCGTTCACACCTAACTGTCGTAAACGCCATACAGGACGTACTGGCATCGTCGACCACTAACATTCTTTTCAACGTCGAGGACATATTTAAATCACGCTCCATTTTTGTCCGGTTTTTGACGCCCTGGCGATGTCATGCCACAACCTTTGTCTTGTGTTTTTTTAGTCTTCCCAGCTCCGTCTACAGTCCCAGAATTGCGTATAATACTCGTTAACTGTTAGAAGCATAATTACAGCTGTGGTCCAGGTGACACTGCTCAAGAGCCGCAAACAAAACTTAATTTTTGAGATGCTTGAGGAATTTATTTATTTATACATTAATTTATTTATTTGAAGATACTATTAATTGCACATGGGATTACGCTAGGGAGGGCATATACAAAACTAAATGTACACTGAAGGAAAAATAAAAACTAATCCGAAGGCTTGTTGGGAATATCATTCCTTTTATCTGTGCTTGTTATACTTTTGGGTTGTTTAAAACATTGTTACGGTTTTAATTCGCGAAGTCAAGCCCATGGAAGTGAAGCCCACGGCGTCTAGAACGGATCGAATTCTGCAATTCTGGTTTTTAGCACGCGCGATTGTCGTCTTCCTTTGGTCCTGGGACGCTCCACAGGCGCGTCGCCACACTATCCCCTTTTCAGGTGATTTCAGGCATGCATCATTTCCTAGGAGCATCCATACAGCTCCGCGACCACCTGGCATTGTTTTAAGGTTCGGCAATTTCTCTTCGTGTTTTGTTACCCATGCTCACAACCACGAAATTCGCATCAACATCACAGTTCATCCACAGCACCAGCCTCCAGCACATTAGCGCTCTCGGTAGATCGGTGCGCACTCGGATCTGTACGCAGTCTTGTTACGTGGCCGCCAAAACAGATCTTGCTTTCTATGGCACTGATAGCGTACCCAAACAAAAATCGCACGCCGGCATGCACTGTAACAGAGCACAATTTCACTGCACACTTGGGCATTTTATAGCGCAGCTCTTATGGCGCGTTCACACTGGAAGCGGATCCGCGTTCGCGAAGCAGATCCGCGCGTTCTCAACCGCAAAGCGGCTAGGATCGAGCGGTTGGAGCGCGTTTTTGCCAACCGCTTCGGGACCGATTTCTCCCAACCGCTTTCACGAACCGCAAAAGCGGCAACCAATCACAACGCGACGCTGACGTCAGTGACTTTCGAAACAAGATGACACCTGTCGATGGTGAGGCGCCCAAGGCGCTGTAGTCCTAGCGCTGTAGTCTTAGCTTCCGACAAATCAACGGAGAAACTTGATGTTCACGTCCGTCACTTGACTCCGCCGCGAAAATAATTGACTCGGTAATTTTAACGGGCTTCGCACCGGTGATTTGGTTCGGGTAAGAGTTTGTTGATTATTCCGGGTGCCACAGCCCAAGCTCGCTGCCTTGTTAATCTCTGCCTGTAGAACGTCGGAACCCGCCCCTGATCGACCGAAATGTCAGCTTTTCTACCCACTAGGATAGTCGCGTGAACTATTGAATGCTTTCGGCACCGTGCATGACCACCACGAAGGCCGATAGAGACGTCGAGAGCTTGATTGCGTAGCCAACGCACTACCGCGGAGGGGGCAGGGTACCTGCGCTAGCTCGACCTGTAACGTTTACTACTAATAAAACAAATAGAGGGAACCTACTCAAGGAATAAAGTGTACGTACCAGACAATGCAGAGGTAATCCATACAGCGTTTATTTGAGCTTAATGTCAAACAAACAGTAGACTGGATCGACGAGTGAGTGACGAGAGGAGAGTCCGCCACCAACGAAGCCACGACCGACTAGCACCGAACACATTCCCCCGCACCACGGTCACTGTACCACGGTCCACCCAACCGCTCACAACTTCGAAAATGATAAGAGCGAACAACAACGAGGGGGAAAACTGGCTCTCTATCCCGAAAACAAGGTCAGCTATTCATGCGGGAAGGGTTCACTTCGAAGAAAAGGTCGGGGGCATCCTGTTCTGAGTCAGCAAGGCGCGCCTAGCTGGGCTTTGCTTGTGGGCGAAGTCGAGGAAATCACAGGCGAGTTTGGCGGGTCCATGCTTCTTTTTTTTGCTGCCTGAACTCGTGATGTGCGCGAACATCCCGGAGAAAAATATTTCGAGTGCCAAAATAGCAAAACTTTGGCTTTGGATCGTGAAATTAAAGTGGATTTTGGATTGTAAAACAGGGTTGCCAAACGCAAGTCTCAAAAGATCACGCATGATCGCCGAGAAACCGCCAACCGGCTCTCGGTGAGTCTGAACGGGGTCGCTCGCGAACCGCATCCGCGACCGCTTCGCGAACGCGGATCCGCTTCCAGTGTGAATGCGCCATTAGGGGCCCGATTCCGGCTTGAGCGGCGTCGGCGTCGGCGTCGGCGTAACCGCGCGGTGCATTATGGGTAAATTTCCCCGCTAAATCTAGCGGAAAAATTTCCCCGCTAAATCTAGCGGAAAATATTCACCGCTAGATCCAGCGGAAAAATTTATCCGCTAAATTTAGCGGAAAAACTTCCCCGTAAATCTAGCGGAAAATATTCCCCACTAAATCTAGCGGAAAAATTTCCCCGCTAAATCTAGCGGAAAAATTTTCCCGCTAGATTTAGTGGAAAAAATTCCCCGCTAAATCTAGCGGAAAAATTTCCCCGCTAGATTTAGCGGAAAAATTTCCCCGCTAAATCTAGCGGAAAAAATTTCTCCGCTAGATTTAGCGGAAAAAATTCCCCGCTAAATTTAGCGGAAAAATTCCCCGCCAAATCTAGCGGAAAAACTTCTATGGCACTGATAACGCTGTCTAGCGGAAAAGTTTCTCCGCTAAATCTAGCGGAAAAACTCCGCTAAATCTAGCGGAAAAACTTTCCTGCTAAATCTAGCGGGAAAAATTCCCCGCTAAATCTAGCGGGAAAAATTCCCCGCTAAATCTAGCGGAAAAATTTCCCTGCTAAATATAGCGGAAAAATTTCCCCACTAGATCTAGCGGAAAAATTTCCTCGCTAAATCTGGCTTAAAAATTTCCCCGCTAGAATGAGCGGAAAAAAATTCCCCGCTAAATCTGGCGGAAAAATTTCCCCGCTAGATTTAGCAGAAAAATTTCCCCGCTAAATCTAGCGGAAAAATTTTCCCCGCTAGATTTAGCGGAAAAAATTCCCCGCTAAATCTAGCGGAAAAATTCCCCGCTAAATCTAGCGGGAAAATTTCTCCGCTAGATCTAGCGGGAAAATTTCCCCGCTAAATCTAGCGGAAAAGTTTTCCCGCTAAATCTAGCGGAAAAAATTCAGCGGAAAAAATTCCGCGCTAAATCTAGCGGAAAAATTTTTCTGGGGGGGGGGTCACGTGACCCCCCAAGGTCACATGACCCCCCCCTCCCCGAGGTCACGCAACACCCCCCCCCCCCCCCCCCCCCCGCCCCGAGAACTGGTGACCCTCAGTACCCTTCCCCCCTCCTCCTCAAGAGCTGCGCTCCAATTCGGTGTTACAGGGCTTTCATTTGTTTTGGTTAGCGCTGTCCCTAAGGCCACTAGGACAAACATGGCGTCGCCCTGCATCTCTCTCTAAAGAATAAATCCGTCATGATCGCTGCACTAATAGGCACGTTCATCTGCAATGAAAGGTGCAGCAGGCTTTCGGCTTGCCTTACCTCGCTTAAATCACAAAATATGAGTGATCCTCTCGCCTGTCTTTTAGATCGTCTTGTCATTCTGGCCACTCTTAAGCCTGAAGAGACGCGGTAATTGTTGACATAGCATTGTCTCGCGAGGACGGCGAAGAAAAGCTCACCGAAGAAAAGCTCACCGAAGAAAAGCTCACCGGAGATAAGCTCACCGGAGAAAAGCTCACCGCAAAACCGGCAGATGCGGAGAAAAGCTCACCGATATTTTTTTTAGCTTAGCTTGATTCTGCGTCTTGAGGTTCATTGGTCATATTTACTATTTCCTCAGAAATTAGTAATCACCCATTCTGTGAATAATTGAAGCCGCAAGTATAAAATCAGAACATCGTACACCGGTAAAAAAGGCAACAATTTATTGACAGCTGAGGGTGC